TTTTTTTTTTTTTTTTTTTTTTTTTTTTTTTTTGAATTTCGGTTCATCGTGCGCATGTACAGCAGCGGATACGGTTCCTTTCAGAAATGGGGATAAATATATCAGTCTTTTTTTTGATGGCAGTTTTTTTCAGTCACAGCTTCCCAACGCTTTTTTGTAAAAAATATAGAGCAAGACCTCAAATAATGTGATTTCGCCAATCTTTTTCTTCCCACTATGCCGTTCTAAGATCTAACGTTATGTCAAACTTCGAGCCATATTTCAGACAGGTTGTGGGGTTTAATTTTTTTTTTTTGACAACTTAAAATTAACGAAAAAAATTTTTTCCAGGACTTCTGAATTTCCTATCTTCCACCGTGATTTTTTTCCGATTTAGCTCAACCGTTAACTGATACAAATCATAGCAGAATCCACAGCCATAGATCCATCCTTCTACACTAAGGATACTTTTTGAGCTCACAAAGCAGTGGCAAACTTTCGAAACATAAATGTTGGTATACGGGGAAAAAAATGGAACTTTGAAAAGTTACCAGTTCATCTAAAGTTGTTTCTTAATATATGCGGTCTGAAGCCCTAATTTTGGCGCTGTGCCACAGTGAGCTGTGGACCTCTGCGCAAATCTTAAGCCTAACAGTTGCGTATGACTGCGTTAGCAGGTAGTATAAGAACTGTTTCCAATGCTGTATTTTAAAGGAAAAATACGCCTCTATACTGCTAAATTATACATGTTTATTTTGGTATTTAGTCAATAAACAGGGTTCTGTTCCTGTTTCCTCTTTATTTACTTCAACTGATTTTTGACACCTTTGAAAGTAGTTGTGTAATGGACTATACGGTGGTAGGTGGAAAATCTGTGATTGGAGTGTCAAAAGTAGATTCGGTCGAGTATTATTCCGAAGAACTTCAAACATGTGTTTCCCCTCTACTTCACTGCAAAATTTTCACATCAACAGTTAGTCGCTGTAAATGCAGTTACTAGCAAAGCAAGAAGCAATGTATTCTGAAATTAATGTGAAAACAATTACGATTCCTGGTTGTTCTTGTTGCCACTTTTGTTCCAAGTTTTCATTGTTTCATAACAATTCCAACTCGTGACCATTTATATTTCAAGGTTCTATGTTCATCCGAAAACTGATATTAGAGACTTGTGTACATTCTCGGAACTAACATTAAAATATTTTCGTAAAAGACACCACAACTCAATATTTGCCTTTCTTCTGTCATGAACACTTACTGTTTACAGAGCAGTAGATACGAGTGAAATTAATTGGAAAATACGTGCAAGAAAAGTTAAAAAGAAAAAAAACCGCCTCTAACAAAAACAAAAAAAAATGAAGGAACAAAATATGGGAAACCATTACTTGGAATAAAACACAATCGCTGATGCAAAGAAAGAAAAAAAAAAGCGCACAAGTGTAAGCACACCCAAATTTCTGAAAGAAACGCTTAATTTCAAAATAACAAAAAACTACTGAGAAATCCAGCGTTAATATTCTGCAACTGCACTATCCGTCAATCACTCACACACATTGACGGAGTATGGATGGATTAACATATGCAAATTGTCAAGTGAAATGACGGAGCACTAACAGTAAATTTTAGATGGCTCGCATAGAAAAATTACAATTTAATAAGAAATATTTTACCATAGTGGAACGTTGCCAATAATGAAAGTTTGCTCCATACCGCGGTGCAGAAACGCCAAGAGACTGGTGAAGAGGGGATTGTAAGGGGAATCAGAATGTCACAAAACGGACGTTATTTTTGCCATCTTTACATTTTCAGTTCTTTTTATTAATTCTTATTTAGTTGTTAGAATCTAAGTAAGTTTAGATTGGCGTTACAACCGCCAGTTTTGAAACTCATTCATTTGTTGATTATGGGTTTCATTGTTGGGTTTTGCGAGTTCAGTTTAATTTACTAATTTAAAGTCGTTTATGATTCTGTTTTGATATATTTTTCCTTTTGCTAAGGAGTATCTTCCACGGAGAAATAACCGCATTAATCACTGCATTTACTGGTTGTCAGCACTCTTTTGCTATCTTTATTTTGCAATGCTTTTCAGAAGTCTCTTTTTGGCTTTTTATCAGTGAAATGTCTGAATTCCTTGATAACCAAGCTGAGGAGTCGGAAAATTCGGGTAATAACACACCTGAAGATTCTACAGATGAAGATTTAGGGCCGAAAACAAAACGCCCGAAAAGGATTAAAAAGACAAAGCCAAAAAAGAAAAAACGCATCAACAGGTGGTAACACTCGATTGGTCGTTTTGCTTTTCCCTTTTTTTGTTGTATTCTGCATTGAACAGTCTGCTGTTTAACCAACCCACGCTGCAAGGTTTACAGGGTTAAATGAGAATTTTAGTTAACGCTTCATTAGTGCTAATTTGTTTTTTAGTGACGACGATGACGATGAAGACGATTTAGAAGATGATGAGGCAAGGATTCAGAAAGAAATGGCGGGTTTTGTTGTCGATGAGGATGAGGCGGAAGAGGAATCTGATAACGAGGTTGATTTTTTTTATGTTGCTTTATTCACAGCTGTCCATTATTTTCAGTTTTTGCTCATTTTGTTACCAATTGGTCTCATCTACTTTTGTTTAGTAAAGGTCGAATTAAACGTTAGGAAGACGTAATCTAAGCTTAATTTAAGTATCTGTTAATTTATTCGCCTTTTTACTGAAGAATTTCAGGATGATAAAAGTGACAATAATGAACTGGAACTAGATGACGAAGATTTAGATTTGCTTAATGACAATCTAGACATACAGCAGCGTCACGTTGGAGGACGAGTGCTGATTGAAAGTGATGAGGAAGAAGATGATCGCGAACGCATCAAGAATGATCTCTTTTCTGGGGTTATAAGCCTTTCATTGTTTGAGACATTCCCAAGTCTCAGATATAATTTTGGGTTTTGTGCCCTAGATTTTAAATAATAGTTATTATATCAGCGACACGATGAGTAATATTTAGGAAGATTTGAATGGTGAGAAAGATGAACGCGAGAAAGACTCGTTACCTGATCATGACAGAGATCGTTATGATGAAGATGAGTCTGGCAGCGAGAGCCGATCAGGTCAGACACTTTTCTAGTACTGGAGATGAATATTGTTCATATTTTGAATTTAGCAAAAAGTAAAATTTTTCAAGGTTCTGTTTTTAGACGATTTTATTGTGACTGATGAGGGCCGTCATGCACGACAGCGCCAGCGCCGATATCATATGGCGGACGTTCCCGAACAAGCCATGGAAGATGCAAGAGAAATTTTTGGAGTAGATGATTTCAATTTTGATGAGTTTTTCGATGAGGACTTGGAGGTAAACACAACCTATTGCCCGACAAACATCTCTCTCGATAAACATTTGTTTATTGACTGATATCGAGTAGTTACAGGCTGGGGAAGAGGAAGAAGAGTATCCGGATGAAGAAGAAGGGGAAAGGGGTTTGTCTCGAGTGCGTCAAAGTCGTTTGAAAGAGAAAAATGCGACACTTTTGGACACGATTGAGCCAGCAGAACTGGAAGAAAAAATGCTTTCACCAACAGATAAGCGCATACAACTGGAAGATCGTCCTGAACGCTTCCAGGTTTCTAGTCAAATCTTTTTCATCTAGGTGAAAACACTCCTCTTCTTGAAAATCTTTTTTTCAAGCTTCGTCGGATACCGGTTAGTGAAGCTGACGAAAGTGAGCTTGAATTGGAATCGAAGTGGATATTTCAGTATGCATTTGGGAACGCTACTTTATCTTCACAGGTAATTATCGCAGTTACATTGTAGTTCATCTTTAACTTTTTATGATAATTATTCTCTATTTTAGGAGGAATCCTGTTTAACCATACTAGCTAGCCCAGAGCTAAATGAGGAGGGTAGGAGGCGCATACTTAATGAAGCTCCGGAGAAAATCCGTGAAGCGTTGAGGTTTATACGTAATCAACTGTTTGAGGTAACTTTGATTAAAATGTGCTCTTTAAAACTCAAACTTATAATTAATGTGTGAAGTTTTGTATTTTTTTCTATTTTATAGTTATATTTTAGGTTCCTTTCATTGCTTTTTACCGAAAAGAATATGTTGAGTCATGTCTGGCTATTAATGATTTATGGAAAGTTTACCAGTGGGACGAAAAGGTGGTTTTAGTTTTTTTGAGTAATATTCTAATTTTTTGCTTCGAACTGGTAGAGGTGCTGCGATATTTTGTTTGTTATTTTTCTTGTATTATTTCTTTCATTTATATTACTTATTTGGTTGTTAGGATTCAAAATAAATATTACTGATTACTACACGCACTTTGGTCATATACTACATAATTTCAAGTCATTTTTTATTATGTTATTGTTTTAGTGGTGCCATCTCGAACAGCGGAAGAAAAGATTGCTGGAACTGATGAAACGTATGCTGAATTATCAGATGGAAAATGACAATGCTTCAGATTTACGAGTTGTTACGGAGCAGGATATGAATGAGTATGGAATTTCTGTTTGGATTTGTTGTTTCAAGAAGACGCAAAGACTAGTTTGTCAATAGTTAATGAAATTTAGGGAAGGATTTGTGATTTTTTGTTTCATTTCTAGGGTACATGGGGTTCAAACAGTGGAGGGCCTTATGGACGTCTCGGCGAAATTTCAGTTGTACTATGGGGCGGAAGTTCCAAAAATGATTGATTGGGAGAAAATACAGAATTTGAGCGAAGATGATCCTGAAAGAGAGGCCGTTGAAACTCGGTTTAGAGCAGCAACGCGTACTGATAAATATATGGTAATAAATGCAGAAGTATTTTTCGTTTTCATGCTTGGAGTTTCTGTTATAAATAGTTCTTAATAACTTTGGTTTACAATTTTTTTCAGTGTCGGTTTTTTAATACTTCCGAACTCTAAGTTACCTCGTAGAAATTTATTTCTATGATGAGTTTGTTTCATTTTCATGTATTCCTAAGGAAATTTATTTACAGTTGTATTAGTTTGAAGCCTTGTTACGCTGCTATTTTTTTGAAAGGCCTTGTTGTGCTTTATATCTGCTAAGCTTTTAAGGATAAAACGTCAGCGATTGATTTGTTTTTCATTTTCAGTTATGTATCCAAAACAAAATCGATGAAATGGCTGTTCGTTTTGGACTCACGCCTTTGCAGTTCGCTGAAAACTTGGAGTGGAAAAGACATGAAATTGTTCAAGATGATGATGAGCCTTTAAAAGCTGCAGAACAGTATGTTTGCGAGTAAGTGTTTGTCGAAAAAAGTTTTATTTGATTAGTTTCTGAAAACCCGTCTTCTATTTGTGCTAATGCCTCGTACTTATGCTGCTTTAGAAGCTTTCCTTCACCTCAAGCTGTCGTTGATGGAGCTGTTTATGTTGTTGCTAAACAGCTAAGCCGTGAGCCCAAAGTTAGGGAGTTCTTGAGAACGAAGTACCGTGAAAATCTGAAAATTAGTATTTGGCCCACTAAGAAAGGTCGAGAAGAAATTGATGAAAGTCATCGGTTGTTTTTCAAACGGTAATTGTTTTTTTTTTGTCGAGTTATTACTGACTGTAATGCAGAGGTATATCAGAAAATAAATTTTTTCGATCTGCTATTTAAAATAGTTTTGAAAGATACTTAAAGCATTTGACTAGCGCCATACGGACTTTCATTTTCTAATTTCTATTTAATTTCGATCCATCTTTTGTTTTTTTATTTGGTATTTGTTATTAGGAACCTTAATCACAGTTTTTCAACAGACATTGGGAAGATGTATTAGTTGAAAAACTAGAATAAAAGTTATTTTTTTACTGTGGCATTTAAGGCTCAGTGAGGCATTTTCTTTAATTTTTAAATGTATCTTCGCCTCATTTTTTTATTTATACCTCGCCATTGATTGATAATGGCTGTGTTTTTGCCTTCGTTTTTTAGATGCTTCGCGGAAATTATGCTTTTTAGATATATAAAAAATAAGCCGGTTCGTGAAGTTCGCCATGACGAATATTTGTGGTATGTACAGGTTCGTATTTACTCATATAGAAAATGGAATTTTTTTCGTTTTTGATTGATTGAAAGTTCTGGTTACAGGCAAAAAATTCTGGATTATTAAATATTAAATTATTTTGCGATACTGAAGATGACATCAGAATAGGAGAGACATTACTTAGCCAGATTACGGCAAACGAACCTTTCTACAAGTACGGTTTTCTAACCTCTTTTTGGACTTAAACTGTTCCTTCTTTCATTCTGTGCGAACTTCTATCTTCTTCAATTATGTGGTTGTGAACGCGTTTAGAAATGAGTTCTCAAATCTTGTACGGCTCTGGAACGACATTAGGACTGAAGCGGTAAAAATGTGTGTCAATCAATTTTTATTACCTGGTCTGGAAATGGAGGCTCATGAGAGGCTTATGGAAGAAGCTAGGGAATATGTCATTAAGGTTTATTTGCTATTTTAACGATTTTGCTTGACGATTTGCTATGATTAGCAACCATAGAGAAGCCTTGTTTAAGTTAGGTGCTATGATTTTGCTCTTCTATTCTTTCCTCTTCACTTTCCTTCACTGTATTAATTTTACGAATGTGGCTAGATTTTTTAGCAGTGTACCCAAAACTTGTACGAGAGAATTAAAACCGCAACGTATCGTGCGTTTGGTGATGATGAAGGCGATTTACACGATGATGATTTGGGTGATGGAGCAAGAATTATGAGCATCTGTTATCCGGAAGACAGGTAATCTGAAGTTTTGCTTTTTGCTGGTAAGTTAAACTCATATATGAAAACATCGTTTAAAATTTAGGGATCAGGCATCATTCTGTGTTATCATTGACCAGGATGGGCAAGCTATTGATCATTTGCGTTTAACGCACTTGAAAAAAAGTCTTCGTTCAAAGCGGTTAAATGAAGCGGATCTCAAAGTTTGTTCATTCATTTCATCTGTTTTCAAGCAGATTTTTTTTTTATTGATTCTGTATACATCTCTTATCGTTCAGCAACAAGACTTAAATTATCTGCGCAAATTTGTTGATAAAAGGCGTCCTCACGTTATTGCTATCTGTGGTGAAAGTCTTGAAGCACGGTATCTGAAAGAGGATGTTGAGTTAACTTTGCGAGACATACAAGATCTTAATCGAGATATACCTGTGGAAATAGTGGATAATGAAGCAGCAAAAGTTTATATGTACAGTAAACAAGCTATGGTACTGAATTTTAGGTTTTTATATATTTACAAAGAACTTTGTTTAAGGAAAATTGCATTCTTTTCTTTTTAAGAAGTGACATCTCTTTAATTTCTGCAACTTCTTTCTTTCTGGCTTTAGTTACTTTAAGTTATAGGCAGAATTCCCTGACTATCCTCCGTTATTGAGACAAGCAGTCTCTTTGGCTCGGCTTTTGTTGGATCCTCTTGTAGAATACTGCCACTTTTGTAATACTGAACGAGATATATTGTGCATCTCATATCACCCGCTACAAGCAGAAATTAATAAAGTCTCATTTTTTAAACTTCAATTTTAGACTGATAGTGTTACTGAGATTTCGTGAGAGAACGTTATACTTGTACTTTTATACTTTCTAGGATGATCTTATGTTTTCACTTTCGTTGGAGTTTATTAATCGGGTTAATGAGGTTGGCGTCGACGTGAATAGATGTTTGGAATGCCCGTACACTGCTAATATGCTGCAGTTTGTGTGCGGCTTAGGAGTTAGGAAGTCTGCACAGCTGTTGAAAGTTTTGAAGCAGAACAACAACTTGTTGGAAAGTCGTACAAAATTAGTTACTTTATGCCGTATGGGACCAAAAGTATGGTTTTTCTTCTAAGTTCATTTCAAAACATTTATTTCTAATTCATTGTCATTCCCTGCTTTATTGGGATAAAGTTTTTTGAATTTGAATTTTTACGGCTCAACTGCAGTTCTAGGTTTTTGAATAGCGTTATTTTGCAAGTTTCAAATAGAATAGTTGCTCATTGAAATTGCTGTTTAAGTGTTCTTCTTCTTAAGGCCGTTTTCTCATAAATTAATTTTTTTTTGTCAAATAGAGGCTTGAATAGCCGTGCAATGAGAAGCTGCGTTACTAATTACGGGTTTTTCTTGAATATTCATAATTTCTTTTTTATAGGTTTTAAAAGCGTCTTACTCACTTGAAATTATGGTAGAATTATTGTCTTTATATTCAGTATGTTTTTGCTTTTGTGTTTCGAAATCAAATTTTATTTGAACCATATTTGGGTGAATGAAGTTAAATTTTTGGAAATTTTGTTTTTCGTAGGAATCTTGAGGCTCCAGAAAAGTTTTTACATTGATAGAGTCTCTTATCTTTGTAATGCAATTTCGAATTTTTCAATGCTGAATGGATTTTTTACAAATTTTAGTCGCAGAGTGTCTAACTAAGAAAATAGTGCGGAAGTTTTGTCTACATAGCAGAACTCTCGAAATTGCATTAGAAATACTAACTTTTGCAGTTTTGCTTTACTTCTGACCTCTACTAGTTTGCCAGTTTGGAATCTTACGAATATCTTAAGGCGGATTTTCGGAGTTAAATTTTTTTCTTCTTTGAGCTGAGGAGGAAATTTCAGGCGTGAATGAATACTATAGTTGTAGGCAGCTGTAGGAGTCGTGATAATAGTTGAGTTAGGATTTTCAAGATTTGATCAGGGCGAAAAAAATGAGAGTTGTTGAACAAACTCTAGTTTGATGGTACTTTGACTTCTCAGTGCATTTTACTAGATTTTATTTTTTTGGCAAATGATGCTTTTGGAACAAATTATTCAGTTCTGTAATTGGAGTGAAACGTACTAGATAAAAAATTTATGGAGAAGTATGGGATATTATTTGTAGCAAGCGGTAATTTTCATCAAATTTTTCCCGATACAATTTACAAAATTTTTTTTTTTTCAGAGAATTAATTTATAATTAATTCTTGTATTAATCTTGTCCTGTTTCTTTCACATTTGAAGTCTTTCAGGTTTTTATGAACTGTGCGGGGTTTATCAAGATTGATACGGCTAAGGTTTCAGATAAAACCGATGCTTATGTTGAGGTTTACATTGTTTCTAGATAATCAACTATATCTACTGAAGTTCTTTTATTATTTTATTTATTATATCTTATTTTCAAATTCAGGTGCTGGACGGGTCTCGTGTCCATCCAGAAACTTATGAGTGGGCTCGGAAAATGGCTGTCGATGCTCTCGAAATAGATGATACTGCAGAGCCAACTAGCGCTCTAGAAGAAATATTACAAAATCCTGACAAGTTGAAGGTTGCAGCTTTTTTAAATTTCTTTCACTGTTAAATCTCTTTCCATTCTTGTTCTTCATTTGCTTTTTTTATTGTTTCTTTTAGGATCTTGATCTAGATGCATTCGCCGAAGAACTTGCCAGACAAGGATTTGGAAATAAAAGTATTACTTTGTATGATATTAGGGCTGAGCTTAATCATCGTTATAAGGATCTTAGAATCCCATATGAAAGCCCTTCACCAAATCAGCTGTTCATGATGCTCACTAAAGAGAACTCTGAATGCATTGGTAATGATTTTTTTATCTAAATAACTCGAAAAAAATGCATTCAAAAATCTTTTTTAAGTTCTTGTTCTTTTTGAGGGAAACTAAAGTTGGGACGTGTAACTAACATCGTTTATCGGAAACCCCGAAATAATGAAGACCGAGACAAAGCGTTGCCCTTGCGAGATGAGCGGACAGGACAGTGGAAATGTCAATATTGCTACAAACCTGACTTCAGGGATACGCACGAGGTTTTCTTGTTTGCTATAAAAATTTTTTTCTTTATTCTTGCTGACGTATTTTTATCCTATTTACAAGTGTTTACTATTTATGTAACGGATGAAACTTTGATGAAAAATTGGTTTTTTAAAAGAACTTTTCCATTTAGATTGAAATGTTGCTTATTAAGGTCTGGAAACATTTTGATTCTTGTCCAGGTCAGCCAGTTGGAGTCAAAGTTCGTTTCGATAATGGAATTACAGGTTTTATTCCTAACAAATACCTCTCTGATCGTCCAGAATCTTTTATGAATCCTGCTGAAAGAGTGCAGGTATCTTCTTATTTCTTATTAATAATCATCCCTCTAGCGTTAATTTTCAAAGACTTATCTCTTCACCTTTGTCTCACAGATAAACCAGCCAGTTTACTGCCGTATTTTGGATGTCGATCCGGAGAAGTTTTCATGTACATGTTCTTGTCGATCCTCTGATTTAAGGAATTTACAGCAGCAGAATGTGACATATGATGAGTATTTCGATCGTTTACGTTGTCAGGTTTGGCTTCGATATTTAAATTTTTTTTGGGAATTTAAGAACCAATTTGGGTTTTTATCAATACTGTTCACATCCTGTTATTATATAATTTTTCTTTATCAAGGAGGAAGAGGAAAAGGACAAAAAACTTAGAGAGCAGAGGAAATTTGCAACAACAAATTTTGTCAAAAGAGTCATTTCACATCCAGCTTTTCATAATGTCAAGTACAAGGACGCGGAACACATGCTTGAAAAGTTTGAGCAGGTGGCGTTTTCATTCTGCCTTCTCATCTCTTAGGAAACATTATTTTCAGTGCAGTTTTTAAACTTTATATTTCACATTATCCTTCATCATGCTAATAAGCAGATCTTGCAGGGTGAGGCGATCATTCGTCCAAGTTCAAAGTCCGCTACTCATTTAACGGTAACTTGGAAGGTTGCTGATGGCGTATATCAACATATTGACGTCAAAGAGGAAGGAAAACAACATTCATTTGATTTGGGGAAAACTTTGATTATCAATGGCGAAGTCTGAACTTTTTTACCTTAACGAGGATATTTGTTTAAGTTTCTTGCTCATGTTATTAAGATTATCCATTTTCTTGGATAATGCTATTGTTATACTTTGTACCATGTCAGATTTCTCTCATTTTGTGGAAGAAACATTCGTCGTATTCTTACAGGAATTTGAAGACTTAGACGAAATTCTTGCGAGGCACATTCAGCCGATGGCATCATTGGCACGTGAGGTTTTTGCACACAAATATTTCCTTGAAGGTGTAAAAGCGGAGGATAGGCAAAGTATTGAAACTTATTTAGTCGATGAAAAGAAACGTACTCCTTCAAGGATACCGTAAGTTCTTCTGTAATTGGAGAAGGTTCATTTTTTTGTTTCCTCTACGTAGCAAATATTCATCAGTGAGTGATATTAAAGCCCTTAATCATAAAAATATCCTAGTGGGGAAATATTATAACTTGGCTTGTGACTGTTTTTTTTTTGTTGTTCAAATTTTTTTGAAAAATTTTTGCAGTTATACACTGACGTCGTCGCACGCATATCCGGGAAAGTTTGTCCTTTCTTACATGCCAGTGAGTAAAGTTAGGCATGAGTATATGACTATTACCCCAGACGGCTTTCGGTTTAGGCAACAAATGTTTCCCAATTTGAATAATCTTCTTGCCTGGTTCAAAGTTCATTACAGAGAGCCACCTCCCGGTGGTAAGTTTTTTTGATAATATTTTGCTGTGGGTTTTTAGGTGTTTTATTCTAGTCAGCGCTGTTTCTATAAATAGTTCTTTGAACTTCAAATGCTAATTTACTTTGCAAAACTTGGCAAAGAATAACTTTTGTCACTTTCTGAATGTGTTTTAATTTTCCAGTTTATCGGTAAGAATAATGTGAAGGAATTTCGGTCAAAATGGGTAATTTTTCCTGCGTTTGCTTAAATCCAAATACACGTGTCAGTGATCTTTCATTTATTTATTGCCTCCTAAATTTTCAGTGTATGTAGTAATTGGGTGTGTGCAATGTTAATTTGCATAATTCTCGGCTTTTGTTTAAAATTTTAGTTTTTAGAACATCTTTTTTGTTTTAATGATTCGTAAATTATTTGTGTAAAATATCTGTATTTAATGAGTTATTAATTTTCTCTATACTCGCTTTTACTTTGGTTAGTTTGTCATGTTCTATTTCTTTAAATTTTTATTGTTCAACCAAGTGCTAAACATGACGTTGAAGAGGTTGCAACATTGCTTCACTTGGTAAATTTGAGAAAAATAATTAGTCATTTTTTAGTTTTTTAGATCTATTAGTATGGTGTGTGATGCAGAATGTTGCGGCGTTTGTT